TTTACTCCATGCTCACTCGAGTAGACTTTGGTGACAGTTCAAGGGTATTCCTGTGATCACTTGGACCTTTTAGGCACACGACACGGGTTAAATCCGAGGACACCTTTACTTCATCTTAGTGAGGTGGAGCCCGTGTACTTTTCTCCAACACTGGAGAAAAATTCCTGTTATTAGAGGGGTAGAAGGTGAAAAGGTCAGTATTGCTCTTGTGCACCTCCCTGTTTGAAAGCGTGAGGACTCTAAACGAGTTAGCGGGAGCCCTCTGGGTGACAATAAGTCTAAACGTGCGGTGGATGCCCAGTCCAGGTATCTTGGCTCGTTGTAGGCCCACACCCCGCTTTTTAGCAGGGGGGCGGGCCCTGTCTTACCAGGACCCCCCCCCAGGACAGTAGGCGCTGGCGCGTCGGTGACTATTTAGGGGCGACGGTAAGTAATGTCCAGTCGACGCCTTGATAGTCCTAGTTGCGCGGCGCGCGGGCAGGAGTGAGACCGTCTCTGCGCAGAGCGGTCGCGCGCGCCGCGCGGCGCGCGCGCGGGCCTTCAGTTTGCACGCGCACCGACAACGCAGCACAGGGGGCGTAGAACTTGGGTGTGGTTGCTCGGCGAGCGCGAACCGAAGACCACACTCCCTCTCTCCCGCGGTAGAAGGCCGGACGGGCACCACTGCCGCACCCTCTCGCCGGGCGGAGTGTCCTTCTTCAAACGGCCCCTTTTTTAGATTGTTGGCAGGAACTGGCCTCTTTTCGCTGCCGCATCTAAATAAAGGCTTTCCCATACATTGACCAACCATATTCGGGAATTAGAAAGAGAGACCATACTCTTATCTTCTTTTTGTAGGAGGTCGGCAGCACCTGAGAAGCTGTCATGAAGCATCTGTCACTAAAGACAGTGCAATCACTGGCTCTGGCATCCGCCAAGCGAGTCAGTGACTTCATGTGCTATCTGTGCATCCTCCACGCACCTAGTTCGTCCCAGGGCAAACTAGAGTGTTGCTGAGGCCCAATCCTACCTTTATCCTGAGGTGGTTGGTTCAGATACCCCAATTGACATTGAGGCAATTTTCTTCGCCGCTGTCCCCCCCCGGGGAACAGCAGTTGAATTTGCTATGTCTAGCCCGTGCTTATGCACTTATGTGGACAGATCAAGGGAGTTTTGTGTCATAATGACCAACTCTTTGTGTCCTGGGCTAACCCTTACAGGGATAGGCCCGTTACTAGGCGACGGTTCTCCCACCGAATGGTAGAGACCATGGCTTTGGCCTATACGAGTCGGAAATTGCGGGCACCTTCGGGTTGCGTGCTCTTTAGACTCGGGGTCTGGCTACACCCTGGGCTGTTTGCTCAAGTGTTTCCATCCAAGACATTTGTGCAGCGACGGGCTGGTCCTCGCTGCTCACTTTTGTCCGCCTTTACAGGCTAGACGTCTCTGCTCCCAGTGTGGCCCGAGCAGTGCTGGGTCAGAGCTCTACCTGTTAGGTTCTGGTTGGTTTGGCGATTTTCGAGATAAGCTCGTCTGGCAATACGGGAGTTACGATTTCCCATAGTGAGACATCGAACGGAGTGTTATGAATGAGAACTATAGGTTACTTACGTAACCCCAGTTCTCAGAGTAAGATGAAGTGAGATGTCTCACCAGACGGCCCTCCTTGCTATGGTGAAGCGAGAAGAGGTGCTTATTTTGAATGACGCATGCGTCGTGGCGCAAGCTACTTATAGGGGGTGGATTCCCTGACGATGACGTCGAGATCACCCGCCAATCAGAATTGGCGTAAATGAGATTGATGCTTCTGTTTGCTCCGCGATGAGGCGCATCCCATAGTGAGACATCTCACTCCATGTTACTCTGAGAACTGGGGTTACGTAAGTAACCTATAGTTATCTTATCTTATCCAGCGCCATATAGATAGATAGATTCTATCAATATGGCGCTGATCTTAGCTATCTACGCGACTCTGGGATTTGTAGTCTTTCTTGTTGCATATTTTTCACAGTCTTATATTTCAACAGTTTTACGACAAACTGACTTTTTTGACATGGAAATTATTTTTTAAGATTGACAAACATCATATGTGTAATTCATGGCACAATTCAAACGGGATCGAAATATATGTTTTCTCTCTCCATTGACTTCAATAAATAGATGGGCGTGACTTCGCCACTCTATTGGTCATGTGCGCGTTCTTGTGTGGTGGAGGAGGGGCTCTGTAAGGAAGGGGCATTTTTTTCGGCTGCGTAGTTTCAAATTTTAGCGCACTAGCGCTGGTGTCTCCATTCTTACCTACCCTACCTTTAATAGATTGACTCAAATATAATTTTAATTGACCTTATTGTTTCAGTTCACGGTTAACTGCTTCCCTTACCCCAGGAGTTTTCTTGTTCTTAATGCTGTACATTGACATTTGTGAATAGTAATCAGTTATCATATTTTAATGTTTTCAGTTGGTTAAAAAATGTTCCTGCAGAAGAGTGGGTGACTCACGAATACACTGCTTGGACTGTAAGGGAGGTTTTTCCTCAATTGAAAGTGCGTTGGCATGATTCATGGCCTTTATTATATGGAGTTAAGTCAGTAATGGGACCTTCTTTCATTTAAAATATTGCTAAAACAAAACATTAGCATTGACTGAATGAAAATACTTTTAGCTGCTCAAAAGAATAATTGTAGAAATAAACGTTTGTGTTTCTGTTTACATGCTGTCTGTGTTAATGGGTGGAGCGGTTCGATCTCAGTGGGGTTCAGAACGGGTTTTTTTCACAGAAAAACAAAAATTTGAAAAAGATTCTCCATTGTATTTCAGCATGTTCACATGATACATGTTATAAAAGTAAATGTAATAAGGACATGTTAAGTCAATTTCAGATCAACATAAAATGGTCAAATATACTCCAACGTCATTACAGACAAACAAACATTATGATCCTTTCTTTTACAATAGTTCTGGTCAAGAAGTTAAAACAACTTTCTAAAGCCTACATGCTCACTTCTGAGTCATTAAATGTATTGGATTCTAGATCCTAAAATCTCTCCTAAATGACTGAAAACAGAACTACACGATTTTTAAGTAATGGAAATAACAATATTAGAAACTTTAAAAAAATAGAAACTCCAATTATTGACAATGACAGTGTGTTGACACATCCAATCTCTTCAGTCTCGGCTAAACATTGGACCAACTGAGGTTTTAAAAGGCTACAGCTTAACTTCATCACCTTTGGAATCTATTACACAGAGGAGTCTACCTCAACTGAGGAATACAACAAGGAAATGAACGCAAAATGGTTATCTAAAGAAAACCCAAGCAGCAAATTAAACTAGACGCAATCATGCAGTTCATAAACATTTAAAAAAAGAATACACAAACATTAAATGTGAAAATTAACTATTTAAAATCAAGCACTGTGAGACATGTGATTGAGGTGAAGCCATGGTAATAAGCCTTGGGACGAAATCATTGTGCGACGGCTTGAATAGCTTGGCTGGCCTCCTCTGATGCAGCCTTATCTGAGGTATTATGTGTTGCAGGCTCTATTGAAGCCACTTCAGCCATTTCTTCACCAGCATTCTCTGGGGCCGCCAAGTCCTCTGTCTTCATGTGTGAGGCTGCTGCGTCCATCAGAACCATGTCTGCTGCAACCTTGTCCTGAGCAACTGCTTCTGAAGGGCCGCTGTCCTTATCCACCGTCTCTGCATCAGGCTTGCTGTCCGTCTTCTCTGAGGCCACCTGTCCAGTCCTCTCCACGTAGAACAGGATGTAGGCCTTGGCCTTCCTCACTGTCTCCTCACTGGTCAGAGTCACTGTGCTGTCGTTGAAGTGGTACCAGCGGCCCTCGTGGCTGCCATATGCTGTATAATGTCCTGATCCAACCCTGGAAACACAGACACATATATCATGAACTGCAGCCTGTCTACCACGCTGCATATATTGCTACTGCGGTTAGAGCTAGAGGAACACAATCAGCTCAGCAGAACAACATCCCCACTTAGAGGCCAAAAGTAAAACTGCAGCAGTGTGGGGAACATTTCTTGGCATATCTTATTACATTTTAAAGTACTCTTACTAATGCCTTTCAGCATTTAGTGGATACATACAATGTTTAACTGCAGCTGTCCACAAGGCTCTCAACAAAATTGCATTTGACTTTTTAATACAGCCATAGTATGACCAGCCCTGCCAAAAGCCATAGGCAGAGCTGGTCAACAGATGCTTATGTTTAGATTTACAGTTGTGTGTTATTCCTTTTTCTTCTTGAGCTGTTAACTATGCTGCCATGGTGACAGAAGCACATCCTGAATGTGTCTGAACATGTGATAATATGTCAGCTGTCAGCTGGAGGGGAAAATCACCCATCAACCCCAAACAAGATGCTGCAGCACTCTAGATGCTGTTCATGCTTATTAAAACAGCACGTTATAATCAGAGGGATGAAGCTTCAGCAAATTAATTACAACCTCTCCATTTGTGAGTTTGAACCGGAATAATTCATGTACTCACCCAGATCCATGATGCACCACGACATCAACAAGATCATACAGGCAGCTGTCTGATAATGCATTATCTGGCTGCAAACATAAAAAAAGACAACATAAGACATTTTCTTTTTAGACTTTTCAAAGATTTACAACTTAAAGGAGACATTTAGCATCTGGACATGCCAGAGTTTCACACATAAAAGTCTTCTCACATTCTAAAACACTTCAGCATGTCAGAGGCCTAAAAAACACATGTTTTATATCAGGACATTTTGAACAGTTTACACAATTACCTTGATCCAAGTTTGTCAAGGTAATGTGTTTTTTTTTTACTACTATTAATTATCCTTTCAGTTCAGTCAAGCTCTGTATTGGAAATATGTTGAATTGCATTGTCCCCATCAAATACAAATACATTTAAATCAGAAATCTGTGAAACAGTGCCCTCTGTAGGCAATTGTAAAGAGACTTCCGGAAGTAAACAAGTATAATAGTCAACATGCAATACACAGATCTCGGGTTACGAACTCACAAAACATATTTGGTTCACTTTGTTGATATGGATCCATCATCAGCTGACCAAGGGTAACATTTAGATTGACTAAATCACTAGTATGGCAAAGGAGCTATTGTAATACTCATCTATAAAAAGACTTCAAATAGGCTGTCTGCGGCTCCTCTGCCAATCTGCCATTTTGGTTTACCGTCATATTTCCAAATGCTGTACCAAGTTAGTTTCACAAGCATTTCACTTGAGATCTTTCCATGGTGTGACTACTGTGTTGACTCTTTTTTTAAGATACCAAACCATACCCCTTGGATTTCTATTGGAATATTCCATGACAGCAGAAACAGAAATATGAAAATGTCACAAATAAAAGTCTTTGTAAGGATATTTATTTTTGCTCAATTATTTCCACAGAATCCTGAACAGGAAGCAGCTGGTTTCTGACCTGTTACAGTTCCTTCTGCGTCACTGGACTGTCTTCTGTCTGAACTTCACTTGCATTTTCAAAAGTGATTATTCCTATTTTTCATTATTTTAATCTTTTAGGAAATGAAAAAATATATATTTTGTGGATTTTCATGGTCTGTATTCTTTAGCTTTTAACTCACCTCAAGTAAGTAGCCCCTCATGTCCAGGCCCTTCAGGGGAAATTCCACATAGGTGTCCACCTTGTTTCTCAAAAAGGCCGTCCAGTGGAACCTCTTTAGGTGCAGACACAAAACCTACAATTGGAAATGAAACCTCCAGTTATACTAACCCTAGCCTTTAAACTGGTGATGTAACATTATTGACAATTTCTGTCTCTACCTTTGGAAGCTTTTGGATCCAGAACTTCTTAGTGGATTTCTGTCGCTTCTTACACTTATGGCAGTAGTATAGCTCCGTTTCATCAAGCTCTTCCAGGTCAGTGAAACTACGTACGCAGTCTAAAACAAAAACAAACAAATATGTAATACTGTTATTATTTTCCACTATTTATAATGAGAAACTAAAACTGCCAAAAAACTGTCTACTGAGTCCTTATATCAAGCATTGGGAAACATACCACGTAGGGTGCAGGTTGGCCCCGGCTCCTGGTCCTTACTTCTCTTTTGTCTGAACTGACTGGGAATGTCCAAAGACAGATCTGTGCAAAAACAAATGAAACTAAATGATCTCGTAAATTAAAGTGCCTTCATTATATACCCCTTAGTATTTGTGTTGATTATTTTAGTTTCACTGTAAAAAAGAGAAAAAAACTGATCTGTTTGCTATCAAAAGGTGGTTTTCTTACCAAGAAATGGATCAAACTTCCGCGATTCTGTTCCACATATCAGGCAGTTCACCTCATTCTGAAGTATGCCACCAAAATTGGATGTGACAACACTGGCAGTCCCATTGCTGTTAAACATAAAGCAGTTATAATCAATAAATGCACAGTAAGATTTTCTAGTGTTGACTCAATCAAGAATATGCAAACCTCATATTCTACATGTAAACATTCAATGATTAGATCGTTTAATAATTTAAACTTCTTCAGGCCAATAGTAATATAAGTAAGTTATGAAATAAGTGAACAAATTAAACATTAAAATATGCTATTAAAACAAAAAAAAGCAAACAGACACTCTCATAAGCCATGTAATGGATAGTGACATGCCTGCAATGCTTAATGTGTCCACTTTGTCAGACATATACAAAATAATTGTACGGTTGCATGGGCTTACATGCAGCATTTGCCCTCAGCGGTGGAGAGTCGGACCCCCTCCTGAGGAGAGGCTGTGTGGGACGCCCCGTTGCGACCGCACTGGAGCTCCCTGTGGAGATGGTCCAGCAGGTACCGCATGAACTCATGAGCGTCGTGCTGCTGATAGCCCCTGGACACAAAAACACAGCACATTACAAACACAACCATTACTCACTATAAGTTGTTCCAGTCTGTGATGCTCAAATAATATCTTGACAATAATAATCAGAAAACAGAACTGAAAAGAAAAACAATTAACTGCTCAGCGTGATCAGCTTAATTCTCTGCACACTGTTGGCATACCTGAAACTTGGCATGATTTTCCATATAGCATAAAACAAGGAGTCTGGACTGAAGGCCGTCTGGCTTCCTTGCCACAGGGAACAAAGGGTTTTCCTGAACTCCTCCACCAAAGACCTGTTCAACACAAAGAAAGCCTGTTTAATATGCTACCGTTAAAAAAGAATAAACAGACATCTCAAAGCTATATCGATATTCACACACACTCGCAAAGAAAGTTGTGTCAGATTACATTACAGTGTTTTTATTTTCTTGTTATTTGTTGTATAGCACTGTTTCTGCACTTTGACATTCCAGCCTTGCACTGCAGCAGAGTCAAGATAACTACTGATGTGAGTAGCCTCATGAGAAAGTGTCTATGAGATTTTGTTCAATGTTATGCTATTTAAATAAGTGTTGGATAAACAAACTCTGCCCATGAATCCTCGCTCATAGAAAAAAATGACCTTACACAGTGTTGTCCCCTTGGCTTCGGGTGTGGTACATCCTTCTTCCTGCCGTCTTCCCGCTGCGTAGAGCCACTGCAGGCAAGTCCTTGAAATAACAGCTGAACTGCTGGATGTTGCTGTCAAAGAAACACATGATGTTGGACTCCTGAGATTACATTTCGGCAAATTAATCAAGTCTTTTACATTATTGTTGTCCCTCTGCCGGTAGATTCACTGGTGATTAGATTTATTGACTTTCAGGAAGCTGAGATAATATAAATACAACACATTTTGCAGATTAGATTAATGAGGCACATATCAAGTTGCTGCAATTAGATTTTAACACTGAAAGGAAATGAAATGAATGGCTGCCTGGAAAGTTGGACAAACGATTGGCACATTTAGGTAAATGGTGTACTTGATACACTTTGCATTTCTGCGTAAAGCAACTGTGAAAACACACCAGTCATTTGAGAGCCAGGAAACATGTGCTTACTGAGGATTCTGTCCTTTTACTGGATCTTGTTTCCATGCAGCCAGTATAAACTCCCCTGACTGTGCCCCAGACTGTATTAATAAAGGATGATTGACTGTGGGGCCCTCCAGGGGCAGAGGCACTGAACCATGCTGAAGCCCAGTTTACCACATTCCTCATCTTCCTCGCAGAGCCTTACCTGAGGGACTGCAGGATGGCATTCATGAAGCACGTGTTCCCCAAGTTCCTCAGGCCTGTAGCACCTAAAGCCAGGCCGTTCTGACAGAGACAAGTGGAAAGACAGAAAATATATGTGTGTTAAAATATATATATATATATATACACACATTTCAAAAATGTCTTAGAAAAAAATACTAAAGAGCCATCTTTAAGCTAACATGTAGAGATATTTTGAGAAGAGGCCTAATGAAGGCTACTGTGACTCCCCCAGTGAAAAGACAGACTTGTGTTTTTTGTGCTGGAACACAACTGTGGATAGGCTGCAACTTTTTTCTTGTTTTAAAATAAACAAATCATTATATTTTTAGCCTCTTACATTGTCTTTTAACAACTTGCTGTCTGGAGCCAGGCTTTCCTGAAGTTTCCGTTTCCTCTGTCTGTCACCCATCAGCGCTGAGCTGTAGGAGGAAATCAAACATTTGATCTGGACACTGATCTTGTATTAAGCATGTTGTCAAACATCTTTGGTGTTCATCATCGGATAATGCAGATATGTTTTGGCAGATAAATTTGTATTTGGCTTCCTCAGTCAAACAAGGTCAAACAATCAAAACACAGAAACTAAATATGTAAAGACTTCTTGAGATCTGTACTTACTTTTCTAAACTCTGCAGATGTTCCCTCACCTTCTGGACATGCCCAAGTTTGGTGTCATTGACAACAAAATCATCACATCTGTAACTATAAAATCCACATTAGTCAAGACACATCAGATCACTGTGTTTTGCTTTTAATTAACATGTCATCGTTAGTGGGATTCATCAGAAGGATATTGCATCGGTTACAAAGGTTTAGAGGAACATTTGGTTTCTATTACCACAATATATCGCATCCTTTCATTGTTTTTATGACTGTACTTTTTGCAGGGCCTCGCAGTGAGTCACAGATGGTAGACGTAGATAGGTTAGTCATAAAGGACACTCACCAGAAAACGCTGTAGTTGCTGCAGTCCATGCAAACGGAATGATGGGATTTCTCTTTCTCCGGTTTCTCGCTCTTCTTTTGGCTAATGCCAACAACCTGGGTCTCTTCAAAGTGTTTCTTCGCATGTCCATTGACATATCTATAAAAGGAAGACATTACTTTATAAAAACAACACCTGGAACTATCAGAAAATAACCTAAAATAAACAGTTAATTAAAAAGTCTGCCCAAAAATAATAAGATTGCAGTTTTGATCTCAAATTGATGCTGCTCATCAACAAGAGCAACTTTTCCCAAGAGTAATCCATTTAAGAGTTAATATGAATTTCCTTCAAGAGTTATTAAACAGTAAATGTTTGAACAGTACTTCAAGAATCCTCAAAGATTCCTCTCACCATCTGGTTAGAAACCGGTATGTCTGTCTGCTGCACACACAAATATATTTTAACCAATTTTCCAAGCTTCGACTACATTCCCTTTTCCAAACAAATATGGTAACTAGAAATGACATATTTCCTTGTGTAATTAGATTAAAAGAGTCTCTGAGGATTCTTGAAATACTTCCAAAACAGTTGACAAATTACCTAATTTAATTAAACTTAATTTCCATGTTTACACATATGCATAATTACCTTCCACAATGGACCATCAGACAGGTGAGGCAAATCCATGGACTTTTATTGGACCTGCAAGCTAGAGATAGAAGATGGAGTCTTGGTTCAGAATTGACCAGCTTATTAAGACAATTAATTGCTCGGATTTCTCTCTCTATGTTGTATTACGATCTTGTTATATTTGACTGGGAGCCCCATTAGCACTAGCATGAAAATGTACTTTTCATTATGGTGTCACTCCATTGACACATGCAGCCTAACACATGTATACACACTATAGCCACATAAACAACAAACAAAACAGCTCATCCACATTCCCATCGTTTTAACCAACATTTAGTCACACACACAACATTATAACGGTCACAATTCTTCAAGATGGTTTACCAGACTTAATGTTTTCTTCTGCATACAAATACATAGCACTTCTTTATAACCACATTATTGACCTTATGACCTTTAATATGATTTCTTCACTGCACTCGTATTGTTTATGAAATGTGTCCTTGTGATTTCTGTTGTTGTGACTTTGTATCTGATACAAACGTGGGAATATCACCAAAGGCTGGGATCCAAATGATTGACTCTTGCAGTCCCCGGTAGTATGTGTGTATCCATTAACCTCTTAACGTTGAATGAAGGAGTGACAAACACTTACCGCTGCAGCACCAGGAGGACGGAGTCCCGTTAGGAAACCTGGAGGTATCAAGAGGACAGCTCACGTTTGAGCCAAGATGAGGGCACTCCATCAGTCCACAACTGTGAGGCTAACCTAACGTTAGCACTACACAAACAAATCGATACCGGGAACCAGGCAGCTAACAATAGCTGCCAATTAACCTATACTAGCTAGCTAACGTTAGCCGACAAACTACTTCTGCTCACGTTTTCACGTTTCCTTCCGCTAACGCAGCAGCTTCTATCTTTCGTGCATGATTTCAGGGTACAGCATTTAAAAGAAAACAAAGGTGATGCCGTTTTCGCCTTGATATATTATAAGAAAGAATAGTAACGTTATCTTTGGTGTATAAGGTACTAGGTAACTGCTGGTGTTTGCCACAAACAAATGGAAATAACTTGAGGAAGTGACGCAGTGACTCCCGCGGCTGGGGTGTTTGCCAACTACAAAACAAAGATGAACACATTCTGAGAGTTGCGTTTGCCTACTTCCTGTTTCGCTTACACTCCCCGGGCCGCTTAGTGCTACATATGGGTCCCTGTACGTTTCGTTAGTTTCATATTTGTTTTCCTATTATTGTCGGTAGTGTTTTGTATTGCCTTTTTACTTACTGAATCTGGGAAACTCTAAGATTTAGACCTAATTAAACAATGTTGTGAGACTTAACTCGCGTAGAAGTCTCACGCATGCGTGGTAACGAGCAAACTGCTTCACTTTCGATCACCATGGTGATCACAGGTAACGTTGTGAATTATGAGTTTAGGTTTAAACCAAACTGAGTTCCATTGTTCAACTTCAAACAGCTAAAACGTACACCTTTTATACTTATGTTATCATGTTAAGTCAGGGCTGCCAACACTCACGCATTGAGCGTGAGAGTCACGCAATTAACCCATATCTCACGCACTCACGCCACACTTGCCTTTCCTCACTCAAGTTTTCGTCCAAAATAAATGTATATAAATATAAAAATAAAGTGAAGACAGCAAACCGAGCGGTCTACGAAATGAGACGGTCTTCTGGCTTAGTTCAGTAAAGTTGGAACGATATTGGGAGATTCTGATTTCACGGATCAATAACTCATGAACAAAACGTTATTCAGACACAAATGACGTCTCCTAAGTACAGTGGTAAGGTTGACAACGAACTACAATCACATTTTGATCAAAAAAGCCAATACGCGCCGTCCTCCGAGCTGGGCACATTACATTGGTCTCTATCCGCAACCGGAGACGAAACGAGTGCTCAGGGACCGTCTGCAAAGTGCAACTCCGAAAAAAGAGAATACAATAATATTCAATCACTATTATACATCTTATTACTACCAAACTCACTACACACATCAATAGTATCCTGTGTATCATACTACAGCAAGGAGTTTGGAAGAATATGCTTTTGAATAATTTTGGGGAATATTTATAATGTAAAATCTTCAATAAATATGGCATCATCTTAAATAACTTTACATACAGTATATTTATACCAAACTCACTATTTGCATTGTTGTTGTTAGCATCTGGTTAGCTAACTGCGCTAATGAATATTAAAAGCTGTTTCTAAATCAAGGAGATGGAGACCTCTGTCCTGTCAGACTGAGAGAGATACAGCTCAGTGAGGTAAGGGACTCTCTGTTTAGAGGGGTGCTGAGGGTGCTGCAGCACCCCCAGATGGAGGACAGGGAATCTGCACGTCCACAAGATTAAATGGAAATATAATACAAAAAAACGAATTTTC